ACCCAATCTGATATAAATAGTTCTACCAAGAGCACAAGTATGATATATTAATAGAGTCAGAGCAAAGTGACTTAAATGTGGGGATTTAATAAACATTTTGGGAGTAAAGGATAGGTTCAAAATGTTATTCTTCTGGAAAAAAATTGAGTAATTATTCTGTAATAGTCTGTTAGGTGTCCAGGAATATATCAACTTGAGGATTAAAAAGACTTTAGAAATTAGGTCATTCACATAGAAGATATTGGGCTTCCATGGAGCCAAGTCCAATGCAATGTGATGCTGGTTTGGGTCAACTGAATAGAGAGTAAGATATGATGTGACTTCATTAGAATCAGCTTTGTCTCTCCTACCCTGAGAAACTGGAGTTTTCATCACTCACCTCTTTCCTTTAGATCTCCTACACATCAACAATGAAAAACAGGACGTTTACTGAGTTTATTCTGTTGGGCTTCACAAATCAAGCTGAGGTCCAAGTCGTGATATGCATCTTTCTGTTCCTCATCTATGTGATAAGTGTCCTGGGAAATTTGACGATTATCATTCTCACTCTAGTAGATCCTCACCTCCAGACCCCTATGTATTTCTTCCTCCGGAATTTCTCCTTCTTAGAAGTTTCCTTCACATCCATTTTTATTCCCAGATTTCTGACCAGTGTGACAACAGGAAATAAAGTCATCAGTTTTGCTGGATGCTTTATTCAATATTTTTTTGCTATATTTCTTGGGGCAACAGAATTTTACCTCTTGGCTTCTATGTCCTATGACCGCTATGTTGCCATATGCAAACCCTTGCATTACCTGACCATTATGAGCAATAGGGTCTGCATACAACTCGTGTTCTGCTCCTGGCTGGGAGGATTCCTAGCTATCTTACCCCCAATCATCCTGATGAGCCAGGTGGATTTCTGTGCCTCCAATATTCTGAATCACTATTTCTGTGACTATGGGCCTCTATTGGAGATTGCCTGCTCAGACACAAGCCTCCTAGAAATGATTATCCTTTTTGTGGCATCTGTGACTCTAGTGGTTACACTGCTGCTGGTGACATTTTCTTATACATACATTATCAGGACCATTTTGAGGATCCCTTCTGCCCAGCAAAGGAAAAAGGCTTTTTCCACTTGTTCCTCCCATATGATTGTTGTCTCCCTCTCTTATTGCAGCTGCATGTTTATGTACATTAATCCTTCTGCAAAAGAAGAGGGTACTTTCAACAAAGGAATGGCTGTACTCATTACCTCAATTACTCCCTTGTTAAACCCCTTCATTTATACTCTAAGAAATCAGCAAGTGAAGCAAGCATTCAAGGACACCATCAAAAAGATTGTGAAGCTTTAAAAGACAGAATACATTTCCATGAAAAATATATTTCACTTACTAAATGTGTATTGAGTGTCTACTATGTTTCAAATGGTGAACTGACCTTTGATGATAAATATAAGAATGACATATGTCCTAATTTCAAGGAATCTGCATGATAGAAGAGTGCATAAACTGTAAATTTATGTAATAAGTTTACAAAAAATAAAATGGCATGGTAAGTGCTATTAGAGGGGAAAATGAGAATTCATAAAAAAGAACAGTTGGAGAGAATTAACTATTTTCCAGAAATTACTTGAAATTCAGAAAGCAAAACATATTGCTTATTTAGAAGAGTGGAATGATAAGAATTTAGAGTGAGAAAGAGAGGCCATCATGAAGGTATTATTTAATTACAAACTACAGAGTTAGTTGATACTGGTGAGTCAAGAGAAGTTTTTAAGAAAGGAAGTTATATTATCAGCATTATTTTGAAGGAAATTGAGCAATGACATAGTTCTTCCTCATAGAGTCCTGAAGACTATGACTCCATCAAAGTGTCACTAATTTTGATCTCCTCCCCTTTGTCATTCTTCATCTTTCAACTGTAGCCATTAAAACTTCCAACCTTCCCTAAAGGGAAAAAAGGATATATATTTGTTCCACTTTTCTCTGAATGAGGTGAAAACCCCCAAGATTTTGTCAACTTACACGTCCATTTTCCAGAAGTTGTGGTTGGAAAAGACTTCAAGAGTCAAGGTTAAAAGCCTCTCACTTCTAGACAGGATCTATTGTTTCTTTCCCTGGCTGATATCTTTTTAAGTTAATGGCTGAGATCTCCCACTCTCTCTTCTCTAGTAGTTTCTAGCGATTTTTTTTCCTATTGTAATTTTATTTTCACCTGCTTCCTTACTTTTGTTAGATATTAGAAAGGAAAAATTCTGTGATATGACTCCATTCTCTTAACTCTTCCCCCAATTTTTGGTTTCAGTTATGACATAAGCCATGGATGCCTATTTCATAAATGATAGTGAACATAAGGTAGTAATATGGTTTATATTTAGAATGTATGACTCTTAGCAATCAAAGAGGAATAGACTACCCTAACCAAGAACTCTACACATGGATTCGAGGTAACAACTACTTGAATATAACTGGTGGTGGTAGGACCTCAACTTCAAAGGAACTAAGAATATATTTGGAAATCTGAGGACTTCCACATAGTTTAGTAATATCTTAATGCATTGTAGAATTCTGGTTACTGTTTGAAGTACAAGTGGAACATCACCTAGTGTGTACACATGCTTTCTATGTGGTAATATTGTTGAGTGTAATGATGCTTCTTGGGTGTTAAAAAACAAGCTGTAATGGATTGGTTATAAGAGAAAACTCCCAGAAGCATGGAAAATATTGAAGGGTACCTGGTGTCTTGAATAAAAGCTGAGTCTTTGGAATATTGAATTTCTAAATGTATAAATTGGTAGGCTTTATTCCTCCTGTCACCAGTAGACAAGCTTTCATGTAAAGCTGTTGCTATTTTGAATAACTGGTTTCCTTGGTGTCTAAACTAGAGATTAGTGACAACTATTAATTTATTACAAATTGTTGGGGAGCATCATCAAAAGACATAATCCCACTGATTGACCTGTGAGCTGGACCCAATGATCACAGGCTCCTCATTCCTTTCCCTATCCTAGTAATGTAAGTTCCACTTGTCTTTCCCAGTCCCAGGGGTACTCCAAGGACATAGCCTCGAGATAAAGGTGTGTTGACAACACCTGCACAGTATATGTGACCAAACCCAGTTAGGGTCTCTATAAACTTTAAGATGCACCAGGTGTGTGCAGGGATCCATTTGTCTTGCTGACACCCAAGACAAGCCTCACATGTAAGTTCCCTTTGCTTACTAAACCTGCTACCTCCCAACCTGGAGTGGCCTGCCTCTCTTTCTTCAGGTTCTCCCTACCCTCTGAGTGTGGGGTTGAGTTTCAGATTTCACCCGAGAAGCTCCCAAGAGGGTTATGAACGAACACACACTCACTGAGCTATTGCCTGATACAGAAATGTTTTAAAGAGCCACATTTCCATCATCACGTTCACTCAAATCCACATTTTACCAAAGTCTATGATGAAGTGGAACACAATGCCATATAGTGGTCAAAAATATAGGCTTTAGTTTCAATCCTAGATTCTCAGTCTTCTTCATGAGTTGCCTTGGGATTGTTACTTGACCTCTCTAAGGCTTACTTTTCTGAAACTCTAACATGTGGATAATAATTTTGTCTATCATATATGATAGTTTTGAACATTAGATGAGATAATAGTGTAAAGCATTTTAAAAGCCAATACTTAAGTGCTTAATGAGTGATACACATTATAACAGTATTATATGGTGAACAATATCCTTCTCAAAAAACTGGGGCTTAGTACCACCCGGCAATTGCACTGCTGGGGATTTACCTCAAAGATACAGATGAAATGAAACACTGGGACACCTGAACCCCAATGTTTACAGCAGCAATGTCCACAATAGCCCAACTGTGGAAAGAGCCTCCGTGCCCATCGACAGACAAATGGATAAAGAAGCTGTGGTCTATGTATACAATGGAATATTCCTCAGCCATTAGAGACGACAATACCCACCATTTGCTTCGACGTGGATGGAACTGGAGGGTATTATGCTGAGTGAAGTAAGTCACTTGGAGAAGGACAAACATTATATGGTCTCATTCATTCGGGGAATATAAAACATAGTAAAAGGGAATAAAGGGGAAAGGAGAAAAATATGAGTGGGAAATATCAGTGAGGGAGACAGAATATGAGAGAATCCTAACTCTGGGAAAAGATCAAGGGGTAGTGGAAGGGGAGGTGGGAGGGGGTTTGGGGTAACTGGGTGACGGGCACTGAGGAGGCACTTGGCGAGATGAGCACTAGGTATTATGCTATATGTTGGCAAATTGAAATCCAACAAAAAATATACAAAAAAGGAAAAAAGAAACTGGGGCTTAACTAGTAAGAATAGATATTAAAGTGGTTGGTTTAATATAATAGGACTATAAACATATTGGCCATTCTACATGGAATCCCTCTGCAGCAAGGCCAGCTTATTTACATCTCTCTTCTGTCCAGTTGCCTCCCTCAATAGCCACAAGGAGGAAGGTCTTATTCCCACTTCAGACAAAGCCAAGCAGAACATTTGTCAGGAGATTATTGGAACTGACTACATCAACTCCATGTGCCCTGAATATCTCTAAGTATGCTGTGATAAGGAAGGAAGGTACTTGGGGTAAGTCAAAGTTTAAGAACACTAAGTAGGGCTTCACTCAGCCTTTATAATATAAGCATTTAGAAATTAATTTTTTGGGGGGCACCTGGGTGGCTCAGTTGGTTAAGTGTCTGCCTTTGGCTCAGATCATGATCCCAGGGTCCTGGATCGAGGGCCACATCAGGCTCCTTGCTCAGCGAGGAGTCTGCTTCTCCCTCTGACCCACCCTCCTCCTGATCATGCTCTCTCTCTCTCTCACTCAAATAAATAATAAAATGTTTGATTAGCAGCAGCAGCTCCTCCTCCCCGGCGGCCGCCCCCCCCCCCCCGTGGGTCCCTCCCTGGCTGTGGGAGAGACCGAGGTAGAGGGAGGACACAGCGCCACGCTAGCTGCACTGGGGACCTTCGCCTCGTCCTGCTGGCTCCTCAGGAGAAACATGGCAGATACTCTCAGTGATACCCTGAAGAAGTTGAAGATAACGGCTGTTGACAGAACCAAAGATAGTTTAGAAGGATGCTTGGATTGTCTGCTTCAAGCCCTGGCTCAAAATAATATGGAAACGAGTGAAAAAAATCCAAGGAAGTGGAATACTTCAGCTGTTTTTAAGTCTGTTGATTCCACAGTCTTCCTGCACAGCCAAAGTAGCTAACGTCATAGCAGAAGTAGCCAAAAATGAGTGTATGCGTATTCAATGTGTGGATGCTGGATTGATTTCACCATTGGTGCAGCTGCTAAATAGCAAAGACCAGGAAGTGCTCCTTCAAACGGGCAGGGCTCTGGGAAGCATATGTTACGATAGCCATGAGGGCAGAAGTGCAGTTGATCAAGCAGGTGGTGCACAGATTGTAATTGACCATTTAAGGTCACTGTGCAGTATAACAGATCCCACCAATGAAAAGCTCTTGACTGTCTTTTGTGGTATGCTGATGAACTACAGCAATGAGAATGATTCCCTTCAAGCTCAGCTTATCAATATAGGTGTTATACCTACCTTAGTGAAATTACTGGGCATCCATTGCCAAAATGCAGCTCGTACAGAAATGCGTCTTGTTGCATTTGGTAACTTAGCAGAACTTGAGTCAAGTAAAGAGCAGTTTGCCAGTACGAACATTGCTGAAGAGCTAGTAAAACTCTTTAAGAAACAAATAGAACATGATAAAAGGGAAATGATTTTTGAAGTTCTTGCTCCACTGGCAGAAAATGATGCTATTAAACTACAGCTGGTTGAAGCAGGCCTGGTAGAGTGTCTACTAGAGATTGTTCAGCAGAAAGTGGATAGTGACAAAGAGCATGATATTGCTGAGCTCAAAACCGCTTCAGATCTAATGGTTTTTCTACTTCTTGGAGATGAATCCATGCAGAAATTATTTGAAGGAGGAAAAGGTAATGTGTTTCAAAGGGTGCTGTCCTGGATTCCATCAAATAACCACCAGCTACAGCTTGCTGGAGCATTGGCAATTGCAAATTTTGCCAGAAACGATGGAAACTGTATCCACATGGTAGACAATGGAACTGTAGAAAAACTTATGGATTTACTGGACAGACATGTAGAAGATGGGAATGTAATTGTACAGCATGCAGCATTAAGTGACCTCAGAAATCTCGCCATTCCAGTTGTAAAAAAAAAAGCAAAGATGTTATCAGCTGGAGTCACAGAGGCAGTTTTGAAATTCCTTAAGTCTGAAATGCCTCCAATTCAGTTCAAACTTTTGGGAACCTTAAGAATGTTAATAGATGCACAAGCAGAAGCTGCTGAACAACTGGGAAAGAATGTTAAATTAGTGGAGCGTTTGGTAGAATGGTGCAAAGCCAAAGATCATGCTGGTGTGATGCGGGAGTCCAACAGACTGCTGTCTGCCCTCATTCATCACAATAAATCAAAAGATGTAATTAAAACCATTGTACAGAGTGGTGGCACCAAGCATCTAGTTACCATGGCAACTAGTGAACATGTAATAATGCAGATTGAAGCCCTTGTTGCTTTGGCACTAATAGCAGCTTTAGAGTTGGGCACTGCTGAGAAAGATCTAGAAAGTGCTAAACTTGTACAGAATTCACACAGACTGCTGGAAGATGAAAGAAGTGCTCCTGAAATCAAATATAATTCCACGGTCCTTATTTGTGCTCTCATGGGATCTGAATCACTACACAAGGAAGTACAGGATTTGGCCTTTCTAGATGCCGTATCTAAACGTTGCAGTCATGCAGTGAGAGATGAAGAGGGACACTATATCGTACTTAAAGGATCTATCCAACAAGAGGACTTAACAATCATCAGTATATATGCCCCGAATGTGGGAGCTGCCAAACATATCAATCAATTAATAACCAAAGTGAAGACATACTTAGATAATAATACACTTATACTTGGTGACTTCAATCTAGCGCTGTCTACACTCGATAGGTATTCTAAGCACAACATCTCCAAAGAAACGAGAGCTTTAAATGATACACTGGACCAGATGGATTTCACAGATATCTACAGTACTTTACATCCAAACTCAACTGATTACACATTCTTCTCAAGTGCACATGGAACTTTCTCCAGAATAGACCACATACTGGGTCACAAGTCGGGTCTGAACCGATACCAAAAGATTGAATCATCCCCTGCATATTTTCAGACCATAATGCCTTGAAATTATAACTAAATCACAACAAGAACTTTGGAAGGATTTCAAACACGTGGATGTTAAGACCATCTTGCTAGAAGATGAAAGGGTCAACAAGGAAATTAAGGAGGAATTAAAAAGATTCACGGAAACTAATGAGAATGAAGATACAACCATTCAAAATCTTTGGGATACGGCAAAAGCAGTCCTGAGGGGGGAAACACATCGCAATACAAGCATCCATTCAAAAACTGGAAAGAACTCAGATACAAAAGCTAACCTTACACATAAAGGAGCTAGAGAAAAAACAGCAAATAGATCCTACACCCAGCGGAAGGAGAGAGTTAATTAAGATTCGAGCAGAAATCAACGAAATCGAGACCAGAAGAACTGTGGAACAGATCAACAAAACCAGGAATTGGTTCTTTTTTTTAAAATAAATTAATATTTTATTGGTGTTAAATTAACCAACATACAGAATAACACCCAATGCTCAACTCGTCAAGTGCACCCCTCAGTGCCCATCACCCATTCACCCCAAGCCCCCGCCCTCCTCCCCTTCCACCACCCCTAGTTCATTTCCCAGAGTTAGGAGTCTTTTTCTTCTCCCTTCCCTTATATCCCTTTCACTGTTATTCATATTCCCCAAATGAATGAGAACATACACTGTTTGTCCTTCTCCGATTGACTTACTTCACTCAGCATAATACCCTCCAGTTCCATCCACGTTGAAGCAAATGGTGGGTATTTGTCATTTCTAATGGCTGAGTAATATTCCATTGTATACATAAACCACATCTTCTTTATCCATTCATCTTTCGATGGACACCGAGGCTCCTTCCACAGTTTGGCTATTGTGGACATTGCTGCTAGAAACATCGGGGTGCAGGTGTCCCGGCGTTTCATTGCATCTGAATCTTTGGAGTAATTTGCAAGCTTCACTATTAAATGTCGAGGTGTTGAACGGTTTTTATTGATTTTAGGGAGGGATCTATTTCCTGGATCTGAATGCCTGTTTCCCTTCCCAGATTGGGAAAGTTTTCAGCTAGGATTTGTTCAAATACATATTCTGGCCCTCTGTCCCTTTCGGTGCCCTCAGGAACCCCAATTAAAGGTAAGTTTTTCTTCCTTAGGCTGTCATTTATTTCCCTTAATCTGTCTTCATGGTCTTTTAATTGTCTGTCTCTTTTTTCCTAAGTTTCCCTCTTTGCCATTAACTTGTCTTCTATGTCACTCACTTGTTTTCCACCTCGTTAACCCTCGTCGTTAGGACTTCTAGTTTGGATTGCATCTCATTCAATTGATTTTTAATTTCTGCCTGATTGGATCTAAATTCTGCAGTCATGAAGTCTCTTGAGTCCTTTATGCTTTTTTCTAGTGCCACCAGTAGCTGTATAATAGTGCTTCTGAATTGGCTTTCTGACATTGAATTGTAATCCAGATTTTGTAACTCTGTGGGAGAGAGGACTGTATCTGATTCTTTTGGGGTGAGGTTTTCCTTCTAGTCATTTTGCTCAGTGCAGAGTGGCCAAAAACAAGTTGTATTGGGAAAAGGAGAAAGAGAGAGAGAGAGAAGGAAAGAAAAGAGAAAAAGAAAAAAAGAAAAAGAAGAAAAAAAGGAAAAAAGAGAAGAAAAAGGGAAAGAGAAAGAAAGGTGAAAAAAGGCGGGGTTGGGGAAGCAATCAGAAATCAAAAAGAAAAGAAAAAGAAAAAAAACAAAAAACACGGGGGGGTATCTTCTGATTCTGTAGACTTTAAGTCCCTTGACTTCCCCTGGAACTGGTCCGTCTAGCTGTCTTCTGGGGGAGGGGCCTGTTGTGCTGATTTTCAGGTGTTAGCACTTGGGGGAGCTCCTCTGCCCCCTGCCTGCTGCAGGGCTCAGCGGGGGTTGTTTACCCGGTGAGGCCCCAGGAGGAACAGCCGCAGTTGCTATGGCAACTCTGGAAGCCTGGATTCAGCCTCTGCAGGCACTATGGGGATCTCCCTCTGCAGGGCCTGGAGGCTCCGGGGCGGGGCCGCTGATCTGCTCACCTCGGGGCAGGAGCGTCCTTGCTGTCCTGGGCCCTCCCGCCCTCTGCCTGTCCCGGGGGAGGTCGTATCCTGGACTGTGTCCCGGCGCCCTGTGCTCCCGGCCTGCGCTGTTGGATTCGCGCTCCCGCCCCACAGCTCCCTCTGTGGAGCCGCTCCCGAGTCGATTCCCTCCGAGCCGCTCCGGCCCCGCAGTGCGCGCTGCAGCCCTTAGGGAGCTCGGAGCACTCCCCTGCGCTCGCAGGTGTCTGTTAGTGTCCCAGGGAGCCCGAGGGCATCCCCGCCCTCCTGGGTCCTGCTCCAACTCCCTGCGAGCCCCTTTCCGCCCGGGAATGTTGGTGCAGCTCCTGCTTCTCCGGGACGGGGCTCTCCTGTCCTAGGGACACTCGCCCCGGCCTCAGCCCGGCTCCTCGCGGGGCTCCTCCCCCTCGGAGGTCTTTTGTTTCTTTATTTCTTTTTCCCCGTCTTCCTACCTTGATAGAAGCACGAACTCTTTTCACTGTAGCGTTTCAGCTGTTCTCTCTTTAAATCTCAGGCCGAATTCGTAGATTTTCAGGATGATTTGAAGGTTATCTAGGTAATTTGGTGGGGACAGGTGATTTGGGGACCCTACTCTTCCGTCATCTTGCCCCTCCTCCTCTCCGAGAACTGGGTTTCTGATCCAGTAAATCGTGGCTGCCTCTGGCACTTGGTTCCCACAGCTGTGGATGTGGCCTCAGACCAGCTCGGTGGTTTCCAGGCTGCACTTGGAGGAGTTGGAAGGGCTCTGAACATGCACCTTAGGGGCAGCCTGGGATCCATACCCTACAGCTTTTAATTGATAGGTACTACCAACTCACATAAAACTTTGCTAGAAAGAAGTCGAATTGTGTGTTTTAAGAAGACTTGAAAAAGGGCAGCCTGGGTGGCTCAGCCTTTAGCACTGCCTTCTTCCCAGGGCGTGATCCTGGAGACCCAGGATGGAGTCCCACTTCGGGTATCCCTGCATGGAGCCTGCCTCTCCCTCTGCCTGTGTCTCTGCCTCTTTCTCTCTCTCTCTCTCTCTCTCTCTCGAATAAATAATTAAAATATATTTTTTAAAAGTATATTGCAGGGCAGCCCTGGTGGCTCAGCGATTTAGCGCTGCCTTCAGCCCGGTGTGTGATGCTGCAGACGCAGGATCGAGTCCCACGTCAGGCTCCCCGCATGGAGCCTGCTTCTCCTTCTGTCTGTGTCTCTGCCCTCTCTCTCTCTCTTCTCTCTCTCTCTCTCAAATGAATTAATTAATTAATTAATAAATAAATAAAATAAAAAGTATATTGCAGCTATATTGGTAGCTATATTAATAAATGTGTTGTTTTTACATTTTATGGTGACTGGACCTAGCAACTCTTTACATCCACAGCCATCACTTCTAGTCCTCACAACAGTGTTGCGGGACAGGCGGTATTATTTCCTTTTTACAGATGAAATTGATGACCTCAAGCACATGGGGTTCCTTCCCTTTCTTTTTTTCTGTTCAGAATATACAAGCTATAAGTGAGTAAATTGCAAGAAACCCACTTCTGTGATCAACACCTTTACTTTCCTCAAATGATTTTAATATTTTTCTCAATTCTGAACTCCTTATCTATCTTACTACTCCTTTTCAAATAACTTAGGATACTAAATAAATCTTTAAAAAAAAAGGGGTAGCCCTGGTGGCCCAACGGTTTAGCGCCGCCTGCAGCCCGGGTGTGATCCTGGAGACCCGGATCGAGTCCCACATCGGGCTTCCTGCATGGAGCCTGCTTCTCCCTCTGCCTGTGTCTCTGCCTCTCTCTCGCTCTCTCTGAATGAATAAATAAATAAATCTTAAAAAAAAACTTAGGATACATTTTCCCAGAACTTGTTCAGAGAACCATTCCCTGGATTAATGTCTCTCCCTAAGTATGAATCAGTGACCTGAAACAGACCCAGCATACACAGATTCTCCTATTTATTCAACACCCATTCATTCCAAAAAGACATCTATTTGGCCTTTTATATGGCAGGCACAGAGACAGGCTCTGTCCCCACCGGGTTTCGATCTATGTCCCCAGAGTACTACCTGCAGTCTTTTGAACTTCCTATCAGGAGCCTTAATGCTGATTTCTGAAAGCAAAACAAGCAAGTCCAGGGTTCTCCTTCATACTTCCCCAGCAGACCCTTGGGTTCTCTCCACAGAGTTGAACTGTTGTTATACTTACTGAGTCATTGATTGTGTAGGTCAGTCACAGAGCAGCATTGCCATCCAAAACAAAAAGGAGGAAAAAGGAGTTTGGAAGTAATTGGGTCTCACAAATCGTGGGGAGGGAATACTGAAACCGTGGCAATGTTTCTTAGTGCACCTTTTCTCAGAGCCACATCTCTCCAGATGTGGAGACATAGACGCAGCCCCATATGTACCAAAGCCAAAGTGCAGGTCCTGAGGAGGACAGGGGTCCTGTCAGTGTTGACGTGGCCCCACATTTTCCTCATGCCTCACCATAAGACCTGAGGAGTCTGGGGGCTCCTGTCAGCATGGACGCGGCCCCAAATCTTCCCAAACCTTCACAGTGGGTCCTGAG